GTGAGGGGTCTCTGGGCCTTTAGAACCTACCCACCATGGTTTTGACCATCTTGCCCCACCCATGCCTGATTTGCCAGAGTTTGAGGGTCCTCGGAAAGTGCCTGGGGTTCTCGGGTGTTTTAGATGTTCTGGTGTGTTACTGACGTTCTGGGGGCTCATAGAGGGTTGACAGTGGGTTCTGGGATTTCTTGTGGTGTTACTAAAGTTCTGGGGATATTGCTAAGATGCTGAGTGGGGGGCTCTGGAGGAACTGCAGGTCCTTGGGGGTGTGTCTGAGGTTCTTCCTCATGCCTTCCGCCCCACTGTCAGTTCCTTTTAAGCTTAGCACTTTGCCTTTTAAGGATTTTGATAACCATGGGCTGCTGAAGGCACACACGTGGGCCTCTGTTCCTGGACGCAAAAATTCCTCAGATTTAATCAACTTGAACAAAAACATGGAGAGGAAGGAAGCCCTGTCCTGAGACCTGCATGGGCCAACTCCAGCACAAGGGGCAGGGCCAGGCAGTTCAGTGCCAAGCCCAGATGGCAGATGATTTTTGTCTGCTCAAGCCCAGAAGCTTTTGGTGACCCCCTCTGAGCATGAACACCCCCAGATCTGTATTCAGTTGGGAGCCCTATTGGCCTGGGCTGTTCCTTGGGTATTGGCATTGGCCTCATCTGAGTGTGCCAGGCATCTCCGAACCCTGCTCTGCACTGTCCTTGCCTCTCAAATTCCCTTGTCAACTCTCCTACGACACAACTCATCTTTGCTGCCATCGCTGACCCTGTCTGACCTCAAGGCCTCACTCCAGGCCCCCTCCTCCAGGAAGCCTCCAAGACTGCTCAAGTGTTAATCACTCAGTCGCATCTAACTCTATGCGACCCCATGGACTGCAGCCTGCTAGGCTTCATCCATGGGATTCTCCAGGCAAGAATACTGGAGTGGGTTGCCATTTCCCCCTCCAAGGCATCTTCCCGACCCGGGGCTGAACCCAGGTCTCCTGCATTGCAGGCTGATTCTTTACTGTCTGAGCCTCTGGGCCTTGCTCCAGGCCCCCTCCTCCAGGAAGCCTCCAAGACTGCTCAGACCATCTCTTTATTCTTCCTCCCCTCTTCTCCCTTCTCCAGGATTTCACTGTCTGTCTTCCAGCTACCTCCACTCAACATCCCTTCCTCTCCTGAGGGCAGGTGCCGGTCTTTGACTCTTCTGGATAGAGTTCCCCTATACCGCCAATCCCAGAGGGCCTGCCCTCTCCTCTGCCTCCAGGCCTTTGGGAGAATTCAGGAACATGTCATTGCCACCTTTCTCTTCTCACCAGCTCGCAATCTGACTGGGTGGCATCCTTCCTAACACCTCAGTGATAACCTTCCATTTCACAGATGTGAGTTCTCCTACCTTCAAGCTGGGGTGGTGCTTTGGGCTCAAGAAGTAGGGTCCCCTTCCCAGCCTGAGCTCCGCAACCACCCGGTAGCCATGGATCTTCAACCCAGCCTGCTTCCCTGCCCCCACCAGCGTGGAGGCCACTCCACTGGGGGGCTAAGAGGGTGGGTGGGTGGAAGACAATGGGGGACCCTGGGCAATCGCAGCCGCTCTCTGTGGCTTTGACCTTCTTACTACAACCAGTGCTTGGTGTGCTGGCTCCACATTCCTGGGCCATGAAGTCATTGAGGGCAGGGAGCGGGGGCCTTGGAGAGAGGAGAGAGCCCACAATCAAAGAATCTCCTGGCTGGATAACCTGTCCCATCCTGGGAGAGAGGCAGGGTTGAGACTCAGAGAAGCCAAGGGAATCACTCACGGTCACACAGCCCATCCCAGGGCTCAAATCCAGGTAGGTTGCCTGCCCAACCAGGGCACTTCTCCCTGCCATGTAGAAACCCAGCTCTTTTCTTCTGGACCTGCTTCCCACCATTTTCAGCCTGGCCCTGAATAGGGGAACTGGGCAGAAGGCTGCCCTCTCTCCACTGTGCCCGGGCCTGGGGAGAGAGGCAAAACTCATCATCTCCTTACCTCTGCTTAGGGCCTTCCTGAAAGTAGTCTCCGCATTCTCTGCATGGGCACCGGGCTAGCCCTGGGAAAAGGCACAGTCTCCACTTGAGGTCTCTTTGGAAGCAGAGCAGGCTTTGGGTCAGGGAAGGGCACTATGGGGAAGGGGCTAAGCCTGGACCTTGTAGCTTGGGCCCCTCCCTGCTGTTCTGGCTACAGCCCCTGAGGGTGATGGAGAGCCCTCCAGGCAGCGTGAGTGCCTTTCCTCAGTGCCCATCTGGGTGCCCACCTTTGTTCAAACATCACCATCTCACCTGGGCTTGTCCTCAGCATCCTGCCAAAAATAGCCTGCTTCTGTCTGTCTGTCTCTCCTCTCTCTCCTCACTTTATTTTCCCTTGCAGCACACCTGACACATGTTCTCTCTCCCCACCCCCACTACACATGAGGGTCCCTGGGGTGCAGGACTTTCTCTGTCTTGCTCGCTGCTCTATTCTCAGTGTGGAGAACCTTGCCTGGCACGTAACTGGCCTGCAGTTAGAGCTGTTGAATGAAGGAGGGGATGAACAAACCAGATTGGGAAGGCAGATTCAGGCTCCCTGTAGGGTAGGAAGCAGTTTCTGATGGGCATTTATCCAGCTCTGAACTTCTCTACCTGGTAGAGCAAGTGAGCTCCCCAGCACAGACTGGAATCCAGTTGTTGGAGGAATCAGGAGGGGGATTTAACATCAGAAAGTTAGTTGTTCCCTAAAAGATCCCCTGGAGGAGGGCATGGCAACCCAGTCTGGTATTCTTACCTGGAGAATCCCATAGACAGTGGGCTACAGTCCATAGGGTCACAAAGAGTCGGACACTACTGAAGCAACCTAGCGGGCATGCATGCAAGCTACAGGTCTAAGACTCCTCAGCAGTGAAGGGAAGGTGGGCTCGGTGCTGGAGCACAGGGCTCTGGAAACCTGCCTGGGGAAACAGCAGCCTGCTTGAGACAGGCCCATGGAGGAGTCACGGTCACCAGAACAGGCAGCGAGCCAAACCCAGTTTAGATAGTCTGTGTGGCCCCAGTGTACTGTGCATCAGGGGAAGGAGGGCAGAGGAGCAGAGACCCAGCTCATTCCTTAGGAGATCGTAGCGGGGCCTGGGAGGCAGGATTCACCCCCAAATGCCTGGAATCAGATGGGCAGTGTGGGCTCCTGCGTTGCATCAAAGTTCAGGTTCAGCTCTGAGTCAGCAAGATTCTGACGTCTCTGTGGGGGAGGGGAGGGGTGGCCAGAACCCTCTTCCTGGAAGAGGGGCCATAGGGAAGGAGAGGGAGGAGCCAAGACCAACAGAGCAAAATCATGTCTTAATTCTGGAAGGCTTGGTGGGCCTGGCTACAGAATTTGGAAGGAGAGCTTTTAGGATCTCAAGCTCTGACCCTTCTGAGCATCACTGTCCCCTCTATCAGGAACACACTTCCCTCCAGCTCACCCAACCCATTCTTTCAGATTAAATTCAGTTTCTTGTGGTGTATGTCAGGGCAATCTGTGTTCTCTTTGTAACCGTCAGATTCGAGCTTATTTACCACCTCCTCCTAAACTGCTGCGTCCTCCTAAACTGTAGATTCTCCTGTCACAGTGCCCCAAACAGTTCTGGCATTTTGTAGGTGTTCAGTGAATGTGTGTTAAAACAATAAGTAGATAAATGTCCTTTTCTGAAGCTTGTTGAATGAATGCCTTAGCTGGGTAAGGCAGGGGCCCAGGCACCTGTGGGGTATTGAAAGGACAGGGACCCTCAAAAGTTCAGGGAGGGGGTCTGACTCCCACCCAGGAGTAGGGTCCTGAGAACCCCTCTCTGCCTCTTCTGTATCTTGCTGTATTCCCACCCACGGTTGGGGACCAGGAAGGGGAGAGGAACCCCCGCTCCTGCCTCCCTCACCCACATCCCACACTCCGGGAGGAACAGGAGGCAGGCAAGGCTCTTGCCTACCCGTGGGTCTGGTTTGAGTTTAAAGGACTAATTTCTGCCTTGTGGGGGTGAGTTATCTCCTTGTGAAATCAAGTTGGAGAAACAAAAAGGTTTTACCCGCGAGGGACACATGTTCCTCCAGGAGAAGGAACGGACGGGCTCCCTCCCCTGCCTCCACCCCTGGCCCAGCCCCAGCAGTCTCCCTGGGTTGCCGGAATGCCTGACTTATAAGCAGGGGCCCAGTAGATGTGCTGGGCAAAGGTGTGAGCGATTTGGGGCAGGCGCGGAAGGCAGGTATGTGGGTGCAGTCAGGTGCCGGCCCTCCAGATCATGCTCCTCCCAGGCTTGGGCCGCCGGTGGAGTCGGGCCTCCACTTCTGGAAGGGGGGCTTGCGAGGACCCTGGGTGTGTTCCCATCACTGGCGCCCACAGGGGCCAGCGAGGGGCCGGCTGAGGCTGGGGGATGGTCTCCAGGGAACCTGAACAAAGAGGAGGGGATTGGGCTGGACCCCTGAGAGCGGGAGGGGACAGGAGCCCAGCTGGGAGAGTCCAGCCGGGTGTGCTGAGCCCGCCTGCTGCCCGCCCACCCTTTCATCTCCGCAGCTTCTTCCTCCCTGGTCCTTCCTTGAGTGAGTGTCTGTGGGTCCATCTGGGTGGTTGGGAGGAGGGGAAGGAAGGGGGGAGGTCTCTGTGGGCAGCTTGGATTGGATAAAACTTCCTTGAAAATGGTGCTTTGAGGCAAAGCCTACCCGTGGCCAGTCACAGAGAGAGACAGACAGGTGCTCTAGCAAGAGCCCAGGGACCCCGAGGGGGCACCAACCCCGAGGGATAATAGCCTCCTGAAGGGCCGCAGGAGACTGGGCGGGAAGGGACAGGAGGGGACCGAAGAAGCCCTTCCCTCCTCCTGCGGCCCTCACTCGCAAACGGGCTTTTCCCAGAGAGCTAAAAGCAAGAAAGTAACCTTTAGGATTAAAGAGAAACGTTTCTTTGTTTGGGTTTTCTTTCTTTCTTCTTTTTTTTCCACCCCCCAAGCCTCTTTTCACATCTGTAGTGGCTTTTTCCCTCTTGTTCTGGGTCAGAGGAGAAGGGTCGGAGGATGTCCACCCAGGCAGCAGGGAACCAGACCTCCTCCAGGGCCACTGACGACGAGGATTCCTATGACAGCTGGTACATCGACGAGCCCCAGGGTGGCCAGGAGCTCCAGCCCGAGGGGTGAGTTGGATTCTCTCTGGCTCTTCTTGGCCAGCATGAGGGGTGTGGCAGAGGTTACTGATATTGGGGGGACGGGTGTGGAAGACCCTGAACAAGGGTTGCTAAGAGGGACTCTGTCGCTCATTCGCTGTGTGGACCCTCGGCAAGTCACAGCCTCTCTGGGTTTCAGCTCCTCCCCTGTTCTGTGAGAACAGCCCTCGCACTGGTGTTAAGATACTTGAGGTGGGGGACCTCAGCCAGGCTAGGCACCTGACTCTCACCTGTGTGGTGTGTTTATTTTTTGACTGTTTTTGGCGGGGGGGGATGGTGGTGCCATGCTACATGGCTTGCGGGATATTAGTTCCCTGGCCAGGGATTGAATCCAGGCTCTGGCAATGAAAGCACTGAGTCCTAACCACTGGACCACCAGGGAACTCCCTGTGGTGTGTTTCAAAAACAGACTCCTGGGGCCCCTCTTGCAAACTCAGATCCACCTGGGCTGGGTGACTCTGGCCTGTAACCAAGATGGAGAGTGCTGGGTGAGTGGCTGAGGGAAGTCGGGCCTGCCTTCAAGGGGTTACTGGTCTCTGTGGTAACCATCTTGGGTGTGCTGTTAATGAGCGTCAGTTTCTCGGAGCAGGCCCGGGTCAGGGGGAGGCCTGGGGGAACAGGCTGCCCTGTTGGCGCAGGCTGGTCTGAGGCTCCGTGAAGATAGGAGATCCAGTTCTCTTGAGCAGGAGTGCTTGGGCCAGGTCAGGGGAGGGAGGCGGCCTCCGCCCAAGTCTGTGTGGCCTGAGGACTCGGCCCACGGCCGCCTCTATCTTTGTTTAGTCTGGGCACCCTGGCAGAGGAGCTGGGCCTCCCTGTGCCCCCATGCTGCCAAGGACGCCCGGCCTGCGTGGGCCCCAGAGCCCAGTTCTCCTCTTGTTGTTCCTGGCCTCAGCCCCCTCCCCCACCTCCCTGCTCTGTCTGAGGGTTTGGGGAACTGGAAAGGTGAGGTGGGCCAGGGGTGGGGGGTGGGCGGCGTCGAGCCAGATGTGTGCACATCTGTTCTCCATCAGCAACCAAAACTGGAGAAGGGAAAATGCTCTGGTGCCTTCCCAGGGGCCGGGCTGCGGCCTGGCCAGGCCTGGGTCACCCGGCAGGCAGGGAGGCCCCACCCCAGCCTGGGGGAAGGAGTGTTGTTTGGAGGACTTGGGGTTCTGACCACCTGGGAAGCAGTCCTGCTGTCAGCACAATATACCCGCCTCCCTTGCCTGAGAGCCCAGGGCTCCCCAGGTTCCTGCTGTGTGTGTGTGTGTGAGCTGAGAGAAGCAGAAGAATGGAGAGAGGCCCAGGAGCCCTAGGAAGACACAGACTTCGGCCTTAGTTGGAAGCTGTGTCCTCAGCCACCTCAGGGCCAGGCATTTGGCTGGGCCACGGTGCCCACCGCCAACTCCGTGGCTCCGGTATTTAGACATGGCCTTAGAATAAATTGGAAGCGTGGCAGGCACTGGGTGATGAACAGCACTACCTCTGCGGTAGGTGACATCTCGCATTTGCAGCTCCCTTCTCCCACTGCAGGTGAGAATGAAGAGCTTTGTTTGACTCTATGTACTTGGCCCAGCCAAGTCGAGCTTCCTGCTGGAGGTGGGAGTGGGAAGCTGGGATCCCAGGGGAATCCCAAGGAGGTGAATTTGGACTCACTTCTTCCTGAGTGAGTCAGACACCCTGGTGAGGTTGTGCCCCAAAACTTGGAGGAGCTCTGGACAGGGGTTTCCCCCTGTGCCTCAGTGGGCTGGAGTCGGGGTCATGGGCACTGGTGACAGTGTCTGGGATGGACTCAACCTCCTGGTCACACTTACTCAAGCATCCCCTTGGCACCAAGGCCTGGCTGGAGAGGTTGTGGGGTGGGGGTGAGTGTGATGGGGTTGGGATGCACTGGCTGGGGTCTTCTCTGGACATAGGATTGATCTATAGAAGCCAGGCTGGCTCCTTCCTCCCCCCAGAGGCTCCTCCGGCCAGGTGCTACCTGCCATGTGCTCATGTGTCATCCACCCGTCATCAATATTGAACTCCCCAGCCAGAGCCTGGGGACACAAATACATCTGTGGCAGCTGTCCAGGATGTCAGTCACCTCCCCACCACTTCAAAGGGCTGCCTGGAAGGCGGAACTGGGAGGCTTCCTCCATGGCCTGCCCTCCTACCAAGCGAGGCTAACGCCAGGGTGATTTTCAGGTCACTCTGCTGTGGGAGAGGGACAGGGCCAGGGACCAGGGCTCCAGGCCCCCCTGGAGCCCAGGCCTGCAGACCCCTGCCCCAGACAGACAGCCTGTCTCACCCCCAGAGCTGTGCTTTACCCTCTGCTCTGGGTGGGGCCCTCTGCAGCTTCTTGCTCAGAGTCAAACTCTTGAAACAATTTTCTGGCTTCTCCTTTGTCCCACTGTCCTTAGCACATGGCAGTCTGGCCTCTGTTCCCGAGGGCCTGTCACCACCTCTGAATTGCCCAGTACCAGTTCTCTGCTTCCTTGGACTCCGTTTGACTCTGGTCCTCACTCTTCATCTTGGAATAAGGCCCAGGACCCTACAGCCATCCCAGAAACGCCCCTTCCCTCCTGCTCCTCTACATTAAGTCATGTCAGTTCTTCCTCCTAAATACCTCTGAGACTGTTTACGGTGAGCCATTTGACAATGCTGATATGCAACTCTCTCTGATGTAAAGAAATGGCAGTTTCATATGGTTCAACTTAATGGCTTCCACATACTCCTTATCTTTCATATCCTGTTCACTTGCGGCTGCTGGAGTCAGACTACCTCAGTTTGAATCCTGGCTCTGGTGCTTTACTAGCTGTGTGATTTGGGCAAAACACCTAGCCTCTCTGAGCCTTGTTTTCATCGTTTACACAAGGATACTAACAGCATCCACCTCTTAGGTAATAACTGAGTTAGTATGTGGAACAGGCAGTACATGGCACTTATTCAATGCTTAGTAAGTACTAGGTTGCTTTTTTTATTTTTAATGTTTATTTATTTAGCTGCATTGGGTCTTAGTTGCTGCACACAGGCCCCAGAGCACTCGGGCTCAGTTGTGGAGTGTAGGCTTAGTTGCCCCACAGCATGTGGAATGTTAGTTCCCTGACCGGGGATTGAACCCACATCCCCTGCATTGGGAGGTGGATTCCTAACCACTGAACTACCAGGGAAGTCCCTGCTGTTGTATTTATTCAAATGTAGCCACAGAAATCTCCTAAAATCTAGAAGACTCTCCCACTTAAACACCCTCAGTGCCTCCCATGCCTGCTATCACCGGCTCTCAGCCTGCCCTCTGGGCCCCGATCAAGCTGAAAACCTTGTGTGGCCCCAGTTCCACTTGCTGCTGCCTGTCACTGCACTTCCTCCTGTTCTTTCCTCTACCTGGAGCTCCCTTGGCCCTTGTTTGCCTGAAGAGATGCTAACCATCTTCCAAACTCAGATACCACCCGCTCTGAGGCCTTGCCCCAAATGTCTCCCCCTCTTCATCCTTCAGCATCTGCTTGTGTTCCCTCGAGGATCAAGCTCCCACCCTCCCTACCACGGTGTTCTTCATGTCTCTGCCATCTTGCCTGCCCCACGGCGCAAAATATGGGTCCACGCACCATCAACATTTGCTCAGCCAAGTTTCTGTTGCCCAGACCGCAAACATTTGAGGGTTCATGAGTCTCAGCTAAACGGAGCTAAATAAAGGATAGATGGAGGCGGGTGCCAGGTGGTACAGAAAGGCCAGTGATTCCCCCAGTCAGGGCCCTTAAGGGAGTCCAGGGTGCCTCCTGGTCTGGGATGAATGGGAAAGGGTCAGGCTGCCCAGGGACAGTTTGCTGAGCCCCTGCTCTGGCTGGACCTGGGGGTGGGGGGCAGGACTGAGTAGGACTTTGTCAAGTGATGAGATGCCAGCAGAGATGGCCAGGAGTGGGGGCTCTGGACTCTTGGGGCTGGCAAGCGACCCTGTCTCATCCAAACCCCACCCCATGTACTCCGGTAAGGTGCCGCAGGGTTGTAAGTGGGGCGTGTGAGGCCTGAGTGCAGACAGGAGGAACCTGATCCCCTGTGGCGCCTACTGTACTCTACCACGAGCACTATTCTGCTTTGGAAAGAGGCTGGAGCTGCCTGAGCCAAGAAGTTGCACAAAGAAGGCTTATTCTGTACCCTGCCACCTGAAGGACAAGTCCACAGGACTGGGTTCTTTCCTGCTCCTCACTCTCTGGGATATCCAAGCTCAGGAAGCCTGGGCTGTTCTAGCACAGAGTCCTCAGGCCCACCCTTGAGATTCGTCTTGTCCACACAGGGGACGGAGCCCATCAGGGTGGGTGAGCCCCCTGCCCCCACCCCTGGGCAGGGCAGGCCCAGCTGCAGCAGGGGCTTCCTCCGATGCCTCATCCGCCAGAACTTGGTGGCCCCATCCACACTGGTGGCCTCCCTCTGGCACTCCCAGGCTCCAGCTGGGCAAACCCAGAGGTCTAGCCCTCCTGCAGGAACCCAATCCTATCTGCTTTTCTAGGTTCAGGTCCAATCCTGAGCTCAGGGCTTCCACCTAATACCTTTCTCTGACACATGACCCAGCCCTTAGCAAAAGTAAAACAAGTAGAGACATAAATCCTGGAAGACCAAGGTAGATCATTCCAGTCACAGACAGACCAAACTCAAATGCCAGTGAATGAAAGGCAGATCACAGAACCAAGTGCTTGATTGCTGGATCCAGGTGGTATGCTCAGCCGCAGTTCGGAGAAGGGGTCTTTGACACCTGGAGCAGTCCGGGAGGCTTCCTGGAGGAGGGAGGAATGAAGCGAGCCTTGATGGAGAGAAAGGCTGAGTTGACCCATTCTGTTTCTCCCATGTCTTCTCCTGGAGCCCTCTGTCTCCTTCAGCCCTATAACCTTGAGCCTTGGTATGGGAGCGGCACCCGTAGGGTCATGGGGCCCAGAACAGCCCTAAGAAGGTGGAACTGTGTGTGAGTGATCAGAGGGGTCAAGGGAGGTGGTGGGTAGAGACCCAACCTAGGGAGCCTGGAACCCCAGACCTGGCCACACACCTGGGGTTTCCCTACCTCGGCCTGACCAGCCTTCACTTGCTCTGCAGGCTGGTCCCCTCCTGCCAGCCCAGCGTGCCACCCGGCCTCTACCACGCCTGCCTGGCCGTGCTGTCGGTGAGTCCAAACTGGCCTACTGCCAGGGGGATGTAGGCTGGGGTGGTGAAGGGAGACGATGGTTGGGGGGTGGTGTTGGGAGTCCTCCCCGGGTGGGGACCCAAACCGGGATGCAGACGGAGTTTAACCTCTCAAACTTCTGTCACCTCCTTGCTGGTCCCCAGCATGCTGCCCGAGTGTGCACGGGGGGTTAGGGGGCCTCCCAGGGCCGAGGGCTCTGACTCAGCCCCTGGGGGAAGGCCTGGGCACCCTAGCCCCGCCTCTGTGTTATTCTTTCAGATCCTCGTGTTGCTGCTGCTGGCCATGCTGGTGAGGCGCCGCCAGCTCTGGCCCCGCTGTGGGCGTGGCGGGCCCGGCTTGCCCAGGTTGGTGCCTTAGCCTCGGCTCTCCTCTCTGGGGGGCCCAGCTGACAGGGCCACTCTGGAGGGGTGGTGAGTTGTTAGGTCCCTGGGCCTCCGTGCCACCCAGAACTTTCTCAGTCTGGAGGTTCTCCCATCCCGCCCCCCTTCACTGAGATCTCCAGCTTTGCTTGGGACCCCCAGAGAGAAGGGGAGGGACCCGCTCAGGGGCACCCACTCCTGTTCCAGACCCCAGGGAGATCAGGCCCAAGAGGGCCCAGCTCCAGGACACACCCCCTCAGGCAACCCATGGTCTAGACAGGCCATGATCACTCCGCGCCATCTTCACCCTCTTCCCTGAGGGTGTTTCCTAGACCTGACACAGTTTTATGAGGGACTGACCTCCAGCCCCTCTGGCTGAAATTTCTCCCCCGGCCTCCTTCAGCCTTGCAACCCCAGAGCCTGGGATGGGGATGACCCTGAGAAGTTGGGACTCGGCAGGTGTGTGTGGGAGAGACTGAAGAATCGGGGGAGGTGGTAGGTGGAGCCCCAGCGTAAACAGCCTTGAACTCGGAATGCACACCGCACACCGGAGTGGGGCCTGCCATGCTGGTTTTGACGGGAAAGAGCCGGGGGTTTCTGCTGCACTGGCTGGCCAGGAAAAAGAGCTTGCCCTGCCTAGGTGAGGGCCCAGGGGTGAATGAAGCAGGATGGAGCCCTTTGGGCATGGAGGCAAGCTGGAGCACCAAAGCAGAGGGTCTCAGAGGCTTGCTCTGAGCTCAGAGGGGCAATGCCTGGGATAGCCGTGCCCGCTGTCTGCCCTCTGCCCTGGGGCCACTCCCAGGCCAGGGCGGTGGCCGTTGCATAAGGATGTTGTGACTCTCCAGCTCTCTGAAGGTCTGCCAGCCCAGACAGACCGATTAGTGTGGAGGCGGCCGTTTCCTGAAGCTTCCAGAGTGGGCGGGGGGAGCAGTGCTTAGGCTTGCTCCTTCTGCGTCTGTGTGTTGGGGGGAGGGGGGCGTGTTCCTGAGTCACTTGCCATAGGGCCCGGGTCTGGATCCATAGGAGGCACTCCACAGATATTTGTGGAATGAATACATGAAGGGGCCTCAGTTTCCCCATCTGGAAGGGGAAGGATTCCACCTCCCCAGTGTGTGAAACACGGGGTGGTAACGGGCATGCAGGGCCTGAGTGACGGCCTCCTGTCCCACCCCTGCTCTGTACCAGCCCTGTGGATTTCCTGGCTGGGGACAGGCCCCGGACCGTGCCTGCCGCCGTCTTCATGGTCCTCTTCAGCTCCGTGTGTCTGCTGCTCCCCACCGAGGACCCGCTGCCTTTCCTGAGCCTCACCTCACCACCTGGCCGAGGTACCCAGCATGGCTAAGGCCCTGGGCTGGATGGATGGCAGGGGGCTGGTGGGAATCCAGAGCACTGGGGCTCCTGATCCCAGCTGTGCGCCACTGCCCAGAAGACGCTGTCCCATCACCTTCACCACCTGTCCCGCCACAGTGTCTGAAATCTTGTCGCTCCATCCTTGGGTCAATGGTGCCCTCTGTGCTCCTGTACAAACTCCACCCCCCTGGGTGAGGGGGCGCAGACGGAGTCCCCCAGACCTCAGACAGCCTAGTCCCGTGTGAACGTGAAGGAGCAGGGGAGGGGAATAGGGAGGGGTCCTGGAGAGTTGATCTGGGCTTAAGGAAGTGGTGGTAGAAAGCACAGCCACCATCCAGAGGAGCCACCGCCCTCCAACGTGGTCGCCTTAGGTCATCTGATCCTCACAATGACTCCGCAAAGTGCAGATATCAGCTCCATTGGTACAGTGGTGGAGGCCGAGGGTCAGAGATGGGAACAGTGATAAAATAGTAGCTGAATTTATTTAGTACTAACTCAGGCATGGTGCTAGGCACCCTACACATACCTTCTCCTTTGATCTTTGCTAATATGCTATGTTACTCCATTTTACAGATGGGGAAGCTGAGACTTCAAGAGGTAACTTGCCCAAGATCACAGAGCTGATACTAGTCAAGAGTCTGGCTTGAATGCAGGGCTCTTGCCTATTGAACCAGTCGAGGGGCTGGGAAGATAGAGACAGCAGAGAAGTGGGGTTGGGCGGGATCCAGGCCCCACCTCTGCTCCTCCATCACGTGTCTCTCTGCCCGTCTTGCCTTCCAGGGCCGCGGAAGATACTGGCTCTGCTCTATTACCCTGCCCTCTACTATCCGCTGGCTGCCTGTGCCACCGTCAGGCATGGAGCCGCCCACCTGCTAGGCAGCGTGCTGTCCTGGGCTCATTTAGGGGTCCAGGTCTGGCAAAGGGCAGAGTGTCCCGAATCACCCAAGGTAACCACGGACTCGGGATGGCCTGGGACAGTGCGGTATGGGGCAGCTGCGTCAGCCGGCGAGGCTCCTTTCATCTCTGTCTACACGCTTCCCTGCTGCCTTGTACTGGGCAGGGATTCATGCCTTTAGCCATGTGCTGGTTCCAAGCTTGGCCCTTCTGTGGGAGAGACAGCCGGGCCTGCCCTCAGGAGCTTCCTGTCTGGGAGGGGGAGGGGAGGGAAGGGGCAGAGAAGGAGGGGGAGGAACCCTGAAATCTCCCCATTATTAATTGCCCAGACTTTCCTTGGCCAGGCTGGAGAGAGAGTGAAGAAAGTTGCAGAACGCAAGCGCTGAGTTGGGGGATGGTCTCAGAGGGCTAAAAAGAGAAGTCCAGAACCTCAGAACCTGTTTCACTGGGCCTGGTTGGGGTGTGAAGCTGCCTGGTTTGGAGCCCAAAGGGTGTAGGTGTAGCCTAGAGTCAGACAACCCAAGTTTGAATCCAGCTTTATCCCTTCCTTCCTTAGTTCATTCCACAAACATATTTGAGCATATTCTCTGTACCAGGGGCATTTCCGGTCACTGAGTAGCACTGTGACTAAGACCGATGAAGTCCCTGGCATCCCAAGAGCTGCCTTTTCTGGGAGGGGACACACAGTCAAACAAGCAAATGCATACAATGATGCCAGGTGGTGCCAGGTTCTTTGAGAACACCTTATCACCTTTCTGAGGCTCAGGTTCCCTCACCTACCCTACCCTGCTCCCATCAATGGAGCTGATAACACAGATCCCTCAGGGTAGAGTTGAAGCTCAGGTGGTTTCCGTGAGAGTAAGGACTTGGTTGGTCTTTTTCACCAGCCAGGACCTGGCACATACTAAACTCTCAGTAAAAACGTACAGAATTAACAAATAAATGAATCCATGTTCAACCCTAGGAGGGCCTCAGCCCCAGGAGGCAGGGCATGTTCTTTGCAGTTGCTCAGGTTGCAAACTGTAATAGGAAAAAAAACAAAACCAAAAACAGGCCAGTGTCAAAGCACCAGGACCTAGAAGGTGGCTGTCTCCTGTTTCAGGTCCCATGGCAGTCCCCTGGGGTGGGTAGGAGGGGCTCACAAAACATCCTCCCTTTGGCTCCTGAAAGGGCCCTGGGAGTCTAGGGGCCTGGGGGAGGGGCAAGCACCTCTGTGGGGCCAGAGAAGGAGAAGTAGAGAAGGCCAAGTGGCCTAGGTTGTAGGGTAGTGATAGAGCCAGAAGCCTTCCCACGCACCCTCAATCACCTTCAGGGGCCCCTGTGAGCTGGGAAGAGAAATGAATCTCAGTCTTTGAGTGGGGAAAGGAGGCAGAAGGTGGATGTGTCTTGGTGTTTGTCCGTCCCTCCAGATCTACAAGTACTACTCCCTGTTGGCCTCGCTGCCTCTCCTTCTGGGCCTCGGATTCCTGAGCCTTTGGTACCCAGCGCAGCTGGTGAGAAGCTTCAGTCGTGGGGCAGCCACGGGTTCCAAGGTAAAGGTGCAGGGCTGGGGTGGGCTGGTACTCAGCACTCAAGATACCTTGGACTCACCCAGGTCTTTTGGTCTCCCACATGTGGTCATGCTTGGTGTAGGGCCTAGAACATAAAAGGTGCTCAGAAAACATTTGCTGAGTCGCTGAGGGACTGGTGAGTCTTCCCTTCCCAAGCAAAGGCCAAGCCAGGCCCTTGGCTGGCACCCAGGATGCCTAGAGCATCAAGCTGTTTGCAGAGTGGTGACTCAACAAAGGAGAAGTGGGCTGGAAGACAGGGAACTCATAGCTCTGTTTCTGGAACATGGAGGATCTAGCTGGAGAAATGAGACAGGCCAGGGCCTTGTGCCTAATAGAAGCTCTGCAGATGCTGACATGATTCAGGGAGCACCTGGGGCAGAATTGCATTATGAATCAACCCTAGGTTGGATAATGGATAAAGGGGAGGGCTGGAAGAACTAAGTAATGCTTGGAGGGCTTCCTGGAGGAAGTAGACATTGCAGGGGCTAAAGGACAGGGAAGATCTAGAGTAGGGAGAGAAAAAGAAAGGCATTGCAGGCATAGCAAAGAGTGTGAGGTGCAGAGATGGGCTGCGTCTGTTTCATTCTTGCATGATTTGCAGCATTGGGCAGGTCTTAGCACATGAGTTACTGTTCAGTCGTTCAGTCGTGTCCGACTCTTTGTGACCCCATGGGCTGCAGCTTGCCAGGCTTCCCTGTCCTTCCCCATTTCCCAGAGTTTGCTCAAACTCATGTCCATTGACACAGTGATGCCATCCAACTGTCTCATCCTCTGTCACCTCCTTCTCCTCCTGCCTTCAAACTTTCCTAGCATCATGGTGGAGATGGTAGACATGGTAGACACTCAGCAAATATTTCTGAAGTTTTGGGTAGGTGGGTGTGTGGATGAATAGTCATGGCAAGGGAGAATTCTTACAAGATATGGCAATCATATTCTCCATTCTCCAAGCACCTATCTTATGCAGGTCCTGGGCTGGGGCTATGGACTCGGCCAGGTGACCTGTGTTGGACTTCCAGGGCTCCCAGCATGCGGGGGGCGATGGATACACAGACATATATTTACAGCGCAGTGTGAGAATTGCAACCCCAGAGCGTGGGTGGAGGAGGGGTCGAGTCTTTTCCTGGTGAGAGAGGGGGAGGAGGGAAACTACCCCACAGAGATGCAAAAGGCTGGTTGCTCTGCAGATGGGGAGGTTGAAGGAAAAGCTTGAAGGGTGGCATCCAGGACAGGCAGCGGGTGGGTGCTGGCGCCAGTTCCTGGCGACATGCAGAGCCCTGGATGAGAGCAGGTGTGCGGGGGACGATGTACAGCTGTGCGTGTGTGGTGCCGAGCGGTCTGGCGGGCAGCTGGACCCTGGGCCTGGAGCTCAACAGAGGGGCTGGGACTGAAACCAGAGAAGGAGCGAGATCCCCACAGAGGGGAGAAGAGGCAGGTGGGCTCAGCATCTCCAGGGTGGCTCTGGATCCCCCGCTGACCCACTTGACTGCAGGTTTCATGCTCACAGGGTAGCAGTAGGGTCCTCGGTACTTGTCACTACTGCCCTCCAGACGCTCAGAGGAGGGGAGCGGCTCCCCAGGATACACCAGGCACGTCTCTGCCTTGCTCAGGCCCTTCCCTCCTCTCCTGGGGATCTCAGCCTCTCCTTCCATTTCACGCCTTTCCTCTTGGGAAGTCTTAGGAGAAGTAAAATCCTCTTTGGCCCTTGGTCAAAGAGTTTTAATCCTCAAAGGACACAGTCATTCTTTGAGCTGATCCACACCTGCCCTGGATCCCAGGGTTCCCATGGCAATGGGTGACTTGGCCTATATTTTCCAAATGATCAGTGGCCAGGGGCTCACTGCATCTTACTGTGGGCCTCTGCCACTTGGCAGGCAGCTTAAGGCCTGGAATGTGGCTTAGCCAAATCAGGTCACCCTTGTGATCTCCCTGGAGTAGGAGAGGCCTGGGGCATCTGACCCAAAACGGCCCAGCCTGTGTCCTGGTCAAGGGATAAACTCATGGGACATAGACTCCCTTTAACCCCTGTCTCAGCTAGCAAAGGCCTGAGGGCCAGGGGGAAAGCAGTGATGTGAAGAGACTGAGTAAAGTCGGGGATGGTTGGAAATAGCCCTTAGGAAAAACTTGCCAGCATTGAGAGTTCTTAGCTAGGAGATGGATTAGTCTTTTATTTAAGGAGGAGGGGAGGGCAGCTTTGGGGGGCATGGCCCTTATCCCCACAAGGTGCCCTTTCTCTGTAGTCTACCACAGCCAAGAGGTTTGTGTGGAGCACCTACAAGGTGCCCACCATGGTACCCTGAGCCAGGGCCCCAGGGATGGCTCAAGACAGGTCCCATCTTCTTGTCCTTCTGTCCCCATAGGGCCTGCAGAGCAGCTACTCTGAAGAATATCTGAGGACCCTCCTTTGCCAGAAGAAGCTGAAAAGCAGGTGAGGCTCCAGGCACATCCTTTGGGCTGGGGGACAGGCCTGGGCAGGCAGGTTTGTTTGGGAGCTTGGCACTGGGCCATATGGTGGGACAGAGATGAAGAATCAATCAGACCCTGGGGCCTAGGCTCGGGGCAGGAGCTTCTCCTGAGAGCTCCCTCCTGACTGGGTCTTTCCTCAGCTCCCACACCTGCAAGTGTGGCTTTGCGTCCCGGGCCTGGATCTACTTCAGACACTCCATCTACATTCCACAGCGAGGTATGGGGTGGGGACCTGAGGTCAAGAGTGACAGGTGACCTCAACCCTCCTTTGCATAGAACAGGTGCTGTAGAAAGCCAGCTCCGTCCTTTAGTACCATTGTCATCAGGAGCAACAACCCCAGCCTGGGACAAGGGGAAGCTCCTGACTGGCCTGGGTGGTCCAGGATCCTGTGACCTGTGGTCCTATTCCCGGGTCCTTTGGGCGGGAGGGGGCTCTGGGGCCTGGGTGGTGCTGGGGTTCACCATGCCCCTCCTTTTGGGGACTGCAGGATTCCGACTCCCCCTGAAGCTGGTGCTTTCAGTTACCCTGACAGGGACGGCCATCTACCAGGTATGTCCTGCCTCTGTCATGCTGTTTGCCTCTGGACCCCTGCTCCCAACCCCCAACCCTGAGATGACTCCGGCTCCCCCGCTCAGCTCTCCAAGAGCCCCACCCACAATCCTGCCCTGTTGCTTCTGGCCATCTTGGGAATGCTGGCCTACACAGAAGGGAGGGGATGCTAACCCTTGTTGGGCTCACACAGGGTCAGAGCATGAGTTTTGGAGTCATGTAAACACAGATTTAAATCCTCACTCCTTTATTTACCTCCTGAGTGATGTTGGACGAGTTACTCAACATCCCTGTACCCACTAGCTGAGCTGTGAAATGGAGGAAATAGAATTATTCTCCTTTCAGTCGAGAAGATTTAGTGAGATAATGTATGTTTGATAAATCCCCACCGCCACCATCACCCCTCCCCCTAAAAAAGACAAAAAAATTGAAGATCCTGGGAGGTAGGTATGAGTCTTTTCCCTTTCACATATGGAGGAAGTTAAGGCTGAGAGATGAATTTGACTTGGCCTTGTTTCTACAGCTGATATCTCAGGGTAGCCAAAATTCGAATCTGGGTCCAGCTAGCTTCAATGCCTGTGCTCACTTATGGGATACTTTGCTTTCTCCAACATGGAAAATTTGGAAATTTCATACTAAATTTAGATAGATGATTCAGAGATGCGCACATGCACTTGTGTTGCTTGAAAGCATGTCTGGGGTCGATGAGGCTAAAGTCGTATCTGTAACATGCTGATTAGAGGCCCTAGGATGCTGCTTTAAGAGACAGATAAGAGCACTGTGATGAGTGATGGGCACGTGGCTGCAGCCCAGGGCTGCTGGAGTTTATCTCCTGAAGTCTCAGAAAACACTTCTCCTGGGATGGGAGTGCCTGGTGTGAGCACAGCCAGGCCCTGCCGCCCTGATTTTGGGGTTCTTCCAGGTGGCCCTGCTGCTGCTAGTGGGCGTGGTACCCACCATCCAGAAGGTGAGGGCAGGGATCACCACCGACGTCTCCTACCTGCTGGCTGGCTTTGGGATCGTGCTCTCAGAGGACAGGCAGGAGGTGGTGGAGCTGGTGAAGCACCACCTGTGGGCTCTAGAAGGTGAGGCCTCCCAGGAGCCCCCAAGGTGCCGCAGTGGGGACCCAAGCTGGGATGCCTGAGCTCTGTCTCAGGAGCCACGGACACGTGGGGTACCTTGGGCATCCCCTCTCTGAGTCTCAGCTGTCTCATCTACAAATTGGGACAGCTGGAGCTTCCAGTTCCGAGTCTCTGAGACCTGAAGGGGTCATCTCACTGGCCCCTTGTCAGCTTGTGTGGGATCTCTCACCCCCACCACCCCCCCTACCCCCAGCGACCTTGCCCCTCTCTATAGGTGTGGAGGTCCAGGAGGGCATGGTGTGTGTGAACTGAGGGGACAGCCGTAGGCTCTGAGGGAAGCAGGAGAGGAGGCACTGTGGTGGGATGGCGGGCCAGGATTCTGAGCTAATCCTATGGCAGGTGGGTGGGGTCAGGAAGGGCAAATGCTTTCTCTCCCCAGTGCCTGTCCTTAAGGCACCTCCTTTCTCCTTCCTTCCCTTGACAATGAGCTCCTGGGCTCTGAAACTATACCAGCCGCCCCTATTCCTCCCAGTTCTGTGGTCTGATGCCTCCGCTAGCCCTTAGCCCTGTTACCCACCTACCTCACCTCCACAGCCCTATGCAGGAGACTGAGACACATCCTCACTTGACACAAGAAGAAGAACTGGTCTGAGCTTGTACAGCCAGACAGAAATAGAGCCAAGAGAGAACAAAGTCTCCTAACCCAGGCTGGGACTATCCACCACTTTGACTCAGGGCCTGGTGGTCAGATGTCAAGGGGCCTACACCCTCTTCTGGCCAGGGAGTCTCTGGCTGGCACAGGCACCCTAGCTCCTGAGGAGTAACATGTGATGGTTAGAGCTTAGGCTGCCATTATTGTGGGTGGAGGTATGACTGCCCTGCAGCTCTTCCTTACCAAGACCATCAGGGAGGGAGTAGGGGTGGGCAGAGGTGTATGCAGTGACTGCTTCCTTCCCTGACCGTCACTTTCCTGAGTGCATCTGCTCCCCTACCAGAATCTGTCCTGGAACTGTGGCTAAAGCCCACAGGTGACAAGTTCTGGATGGGCTGAAAATGACATCTCTAAGATTTTCCAAGTTGGTCACAATCTGAGCCACAGGCAGGAGCAGACATAACCCTTATCAGTCCATATCCAAGCTCAGACCTTGCTCACAGCAGCCTTGTTGGGTCAGCATCATTGATCTCCTCTCACAGAACAGAAACTCAAGAGGCAGACATGTCTAGGATAGGGGATTTGGTTTCTACTCAACACACCTCAAACTTAAAAGTTAACCTGTTTGCTTACCTTGGCAGGCTCAGCAGGCAAACTCCTTGCCTCCTGGCTGAGACAGTCCAGGGTGTATCTTTGCTGGCACTGTACTGGCTCCAGGAGGGCAGGGCTCTAGACAGGGCGGAGCAGAGCTGCACATGCCCAGGGCTTTCTCCTGGCCTTCTGTTCAGTAAAGGGCCCACCTCTGCCTCCTTGCACGGCTGAACCAGGGGCAGGCACAGTGGCCCCAGGTTTCTGTAGTGGTTGTCCTCACCCCTGTCTGTGCCTGAGAATCACCTGGTAACTTTTAAGAAATCCCAAGGCTCTAGTCAGACTTCAGAAATCTGGAGGGTGGGGCCCAGCCTCTGTGATTGGACAAGTCTTCTCCATGATTCAAATACAAGACTGAGTCTGAGAACCACTTGTAGCTGGCGCTCTACATGTGCTGGTTGGCCTGATGGATTTCAATCAACTGCTGACTAAAAGAGATCATTAAGGCTCTGACTTTGGGGGAAAAAACCCAGTTCAGTTGTTCTCAACCCTGAGTGCACGTTGGAATTACTGGGGTTGCTTTCCAAAAAGCTAAGGTCTGGGTCCTATGCCCAGAAATTCTGACTTAATTGCTCTGGGGCGCAGCTTGGGCTATGGGAATTTTTTTAATTATTTATTTTTTTAGCTGCATGGGGTCTTAGTTGCAGTATTCAGGATCTTTCCTTGTGGCACTCTGGCTTTCCAGCTGTGATGCAGAGGCTCAGTAGCATGTGGTATCCTAGTTCCCCGACCAGGAATCAAACCCATGTCCCCTGCATTGCAAGGCAGATTCTTTTTTTTTTCATCCCGATCCCCCCTCCCACCTCCCTCTCCGCCTGATCCCTCTGCGTCTTCCCAGTGCACCAGGTCCGAGCACTTGTCTCATGCATCCAACCTGGGCTGGTGATCTGTTTCACCCTAGATAATATACATGTTTCAATGCTATTCTCTTGAAACATCCCACCCTCACCTTCTCCCACAGAGTCCAAAAGTCTGTTCTATACATCTGTGTCTCTTTTTCTGTTTTGCATATAGGGTTATCGTTACCATCTTTCTAAATTCCATATATATGTGTTAGTATACTATAATGGTCTTTATCTTTCTGGCTTACTTCAATCTGTATAATGGGCTCCAGTTTCATCCATCTCATTAGAACTGATTCAAATGAATTCTTTTTAATGGCTGAGTAATATTCCATGGTGCAAGGCAGATTCTTAACCACTGGGCCACTGGAAGTCCCTGGGCCATGGGAACTGAAACAGCTCCTAATATGCTGTCAGTGGTAAGACCCACATCTCCAGTACCTGTGGCTGCAAGGACCCAGTGCTTGCCTCTCCCATGTGTGTTTGCTCCCCTCCTGAGTCTCTGATGGGAACCAGGAACACTTCCCTCAGATGACTAATGGGATCAGGGTGCAGATCTCCCAGGCTTATCCTAGATCAGAAGATTGCACAACGTGCTCCATACCTTCCAAGCGGTGTGGCTGGTGGGTCAAGCCCACCAGCTCTGAGTCTCAGCTTCTTTGTGGGTCCCATGTCTCCCTGGGCCTCTCCTGTGGGGTTGTTCTGAGGGTACTGCGTGAGACTGGCTGTGGATATAGGGTGGAAGGGTTGCAGCCCTGCTATGCTTAAAGACCAGGCTTGTCCACAACACACCATGCATTCTCTCCTAGTTACTGCTGATACAAGGAACTCCTGGCCAGGGTGGATGGGGAGTTGGGGAGGAGATGGGGAGTTGGGGAGGAGATGGGTAGCAGCGGTCACGTCCCTCATTCTGATGGACTCAGGTCACACTGATGGTCGCTCGCATCTTCTGTGCTCTGAACCAAGGCCACTGATGCTGGCCCTAATGGGATTTTAGGGCTCACAACATGCTGGGGAATGGGCAGCCCAGGGGTGTGCCTGGTATGGACAAGTTGAGGCTGGGTGATGGCATGATCTCCTGACGCCTCACAGCCAGGAGGTCATGGAGCTGGAGGCACACGCCAGGCAGACCCCCATGGAGTCCCTCACTGGGGGCCACACAGCAGTGGAAGCAGCAAGACCAGGGTGAGGGCCAGGTCTACAACTTCAGAGCTGGCCTCTCCCATCCTGGCCACCAGACATCACCTGGAAGGATGGACCAACTGAAGTTGTTGACTTACACTGGATCTGAGAACAGGGAAAGTGACGAGAAGCCTCCGCTCAGTGTGGGCGTGGGGTGGGGGTAATTCCCACCTAACCACCCCCTTGACAGCAGTTCAGAGGTTCCCAGGAGACCTGCCCCAGGCCCTGACCTCCCACTTTGCTTCCTTTTCGGCCTTCCAGTTTGCTACATCTCGGCCTTGGTCCTGTCTTGCTTGCTCACATTCCTCATGCTGGTCCACTCGCTGGTGACACACAGGTCAGTGGCAGGCTCTGACACCCCCTGATACACATGCTGGGGAGAGGTCGGGCCTGCAGGACCCCTGACCCAGGAGGGGGAAATCGGGACTAGAGGGAGGGAGAATACCTGCAGGCCAAGCTGTCCCTGAGGCCAGCTGCCCTGCGGTGGTTGGAGGTGGGGTCTTCCTGTCTGGTTGGAGAAATGTCCGTGAATAATGCAGGGCATGGCTGATAAAGGGCTGAAGTGTGGGGTTTGCTTTCTGAGGACGGGTCACCTGGGAGAGCTGGCATCCTACCGGGAGACGAGGGAGGCAGGGTGCCATGGGTGGGAGGAGCTGCATGGGCAAGAGCAAGTGTGAGTGTGGGTGAGGGGGTGGGCCGGCTGGCGCCTGGGGCACCGGAGAGATTCTTGTGGGATATTGAATGCCAAGCCGCCTACCTCGCCCTTTCATGGTGAATGGTAAGGAGCACTGAAGAAGTGTGAGCAGAGAAGGAGAGAAGGTTCTGGTTGGGAGTAGGGTGGGTGGGGAAGGGAGGGCCAGGGACTTAGCAGGAAGCTGGTCTGTATACTTTACATTGATCAGGTCTCATGGTTCCTGCTCCAGAATCTTTTCTTACTGGGTTGGCACCATTTGTTGTCGTTGTTCAGTTGCTAAGTTGTGTCTGACTCTTTGCAACCCCAGGGAGTGCAGCACGCCAGGCTTTCCTGTCCTTCATCAACTCCCAGAGCTTCCTCAAACTCATGCCCATTGAGTCAATGATGCCTTCCAACCATCTCATCCTCTGTCACCTCCTTCTCCTCCTGCCTTCCATCTTTCCCAGCATCAGAGTCTTTTCTAATGAGTCGGCTCTTCGCGTCAGGTGGCTCAGGATCTCAAGCCTCTGCCTACCTGGAACCTGGCCTCCCGCCCTGGTGGCTGAGCTGCAAGTCACTTTCCATCCCTACTGTTGTGTCTCACTTTCCTGACTTGGCTCAGGTTGAACCTTCCGTTTTGATTTGTCTCCCTTGATCCCTGCCCCACCCGCTACCAGCTTACTCTTATTCATTTTTTAAGACTCCACTCAGGCATCACCTCCTCTGGGAAGCCCTCCCTAACCTCCCAGGCTGGGTTAGTAGGCTCCACTGGGCTCCCACAGCCCTGGGCTTCCCTGCCCGTGGCTGTGGGGTAGACTGGGGGTTCAGCCAGAGGCCGGCCCAGAGCTGAGAATAAGGCAGCATGTGTGCTCCCTGAGATCCCTGCCTTTCTCACTCCCACCCTAGGACCAACCTGCAAGCTCTGCACCGAGGGGGCGCCCTGGACATGGGCCTCCTGACCCAGAGCCCCCGCCCCTCCCGCCAGGCCATATTCTGTTGGATGAGCTTCACTGCCTACCAGACTGCTTTTACCTGCCTTGGTGAGCCCCCCTCGTCCACTCCACCTGACCTCAGCACTGATCTCCATCTGACCCCAGACACTGGCCCGAGTTGGGGGTGGGGAGGGTGGAGAATGTGCTGCAGGTCTTGGCTGCCCCTGCGGGTCTGCCTGCCTGTGCTGGAGCTGGCTCTGGGGTAAAAGCAAAAGGAAAGAACCACCTTGCCTCCCCTGCCCTCAGGGAGTCCACATAGGTGGGATGAACGGGAGGGGCTAGGGGCAGGAGCCTTTGGTGAAAGAACATCCATCACTAGATTGGCTCCTGGGTGCCACCAGGTGTTAGCACAGAGGGTGACCCAGGGCTGGAAAGTTGAAGGAGGCACATTCTTGCTTTTGTAAGAGAGGGCTATATCATGATGGGCTCTCAGTAGGTAATGAGATCCCTGTCACTGGGAGTATTCAAGCATGAGTGTTATTGTCCAGTTGCTAAGTCACCTCTGACTCTGCAACCCCGTGGACTGTATCATGCCAGGCTTCTCTATCCTCCACTAGAGTGGTTATGTGGCCATTACTAGGGGCTGCAAAGGGGGTCCTACTCTGAGAGAATTGGACCAGATGGACTTCGAGTTTCTGATTCTTCCCTTGGGCACTGCAGTGAGTAAAGTCCTCTCGAATGTGAGCAGGCTGAAGCCAGCAAGGGTCTGATTTCCCTTCCTGCTGGTTCTTTCAGCTCTCACCTCTGGGTAAGGTAGGAAAAGATGATGAAAAGGGGTAGAGGGACTTTTAGCACTAAAAGCCATAATTCCTTGAATTAGTAAACTTTAAGCCTCCGAAGCCCTTTTGTACACATCCTAGGTAAACAATTAGCCCATCATTTCAATAGACAGCTTTCAGGTGACTACCATGGGCCAGGCTCTGGCCAGTAGGAATGTAAACATTATTTTCAAATACTGTCTTGTCCTCAAGGATGCAGGAGCAATTGGGGGGAAAAATAACATTTGCAAAGCACTTTGTGGTTTTCCAAGAGTGGCCACAGATTTTGTCTCACTGCCTCCTTAGCACGGTCCTCCTGGGTAGGGGGGCCCTCTCCCCTTTTTACAGAGGAAACCAAGGCTCAGAGAGGTTAAGTAACTTGCTGAAGGTGGCACAGCTAAACAGTAGCAGAGCAGGGATCTGAAACCCGGTCTACCCGATTCCAAAGCTTTGCGTGTCTGGGAGTGGCGGGGTGGCTGATGGCTGCGCCCCTCCTCCCGATGCTGGCAGGACTCCTGGTACAACAGATCCTCTTCTTCCTGGGGACCTTGACCCTGGCCTTCCTGGTGTTCATGCCCATGCTCCACGGCAGGAACCTCCTGCTCCTCCATTACCTGAAGTCCTCATGGTGAGTGAGGAAGGGGCTGAGGCTTCTGGGACCCCTTCCCTAAGGGCCACTAACAGTGACACCCTCCCCATCCCCTCACCTCCCACAGGCCCTTCTGGCTGACCTTGGTCCTGGCTGTGACCCTGCAGAACGCAGCGGCCCACTGGGTCTTCCTGGACACTCACCATGGACGCCCGGGGCTGACCAACCGGTGAGGTGGCTCCTGGGCTTGTGGCTCCACAGGCCCTTGGCCGCTTCTTCCCTGTCTTCCTTCCTGTGCCTTTCTCCCTCTACTGGTGTCTTTCCCCTTTCCCTAACAGGGGGCCCCAGCGGGTGGTAGAAAGAGCTCGCCTTATCCACAGAGAGGCGGCCGTGGCCCAGCTCAGTTCACAATGCCTCTGTTTACCTGTCACAGGGCCAGAAATACCCGCTGAGCTTTCCCTATCTTGGGGATCAGCCCTGCTCTCCCCTTTGCAGGAAGGAGGTTAACAGCCATGTCATTTCTCTGCTAGGCTGTGAGAGGATCCTGGCCCCAGGAGAGGCTTAGAATTTTGAACAAGGGACCCAGAGAAGGGAGGTGGGAGACACAAGGATCATAGGAAGACCCAGGTGGACCTGGAGTGAAACCCCAAATCTGCCACTGACCAGCTAGGCAGCCTTAGCTAAGTCACCCCATCTCTCCAGGCCTCCCAGATTGGGGGAATGGGTGAGCTGGGTTACATAAGGCACAAGGTGGGTGCACAGAGGTGTACTCAGTAAATACATGGCAGCGGTGGTCCTGTCAGTCTGACACTGACGCCGAGGAAGGGCCTCTGTGTGGGGAATTGCTTCAGCCCTCCTCTCCCCAACCCCAGGCGAGTGCTCTATGCAGCCACCTTCCTTCTCTTCCCTGTCAACGTGCTGGTGGGCGCCATGGTGGCCGCCTGGAGAGTGCTCCTGTCTGCCCTCTACAATGCCGTCCACCTTGGCCGGATGGATCTCAGCCTGCTGCCTCCTAGAGCCGCCACTCTTGACCCCGGTAAGGTCACTGGGCAGGAGCCGAGAGTAGGGGATGCTCAGGCTGGCCAATCAGAGAGGGCGGGTCTGCCCTGACCTAGTCTCCTTGGAGGAATGTCCGTAACCCTGGGCAGGGGGCCACTCGCAGTGCATGTGCTCAGGTGTCCACGTGGGCATGCAGGACACTCCCTGTATCTGTGTTATGGGCCGCCTGGGTCCTCCCCGACTAGCGCTGCCTCCTCCACCCGCCCAGGCTACCACACATACTGCAACTTCTTGAAGATGGAGGTCAGCCAGTCACACCCAGCCGCGATGGCCTTCTGTGCCCTGCTCCTGCGAACTCAGAGGCCCCAGCCCCGTGTCACCCCGCAGGATGGCCTCAGACTGGGGGAGGAAGAGGAAGGTGCGCCTTTCCATTGGGGATGGGGGGCAAGTTTAACCCACCTGGCTTCTCCCAAGAGGAAGGCATGCCCCTGTCTCCAACACGGGCAAGGGAGAGAGGGCCAGGAAAATGCTTACTTCCTCTCTGGGCTGCCTGTGGGAGAGAAGAAGTGAGAATTTTCCTGGCCCGTCTCAAGGTAACTTTTTCCTTGATACTAACATATACACACTGTCACATGTATGCACACACACTTAGTTCTTACTTGGGGAATGAGTCCTCTGTCTTGCTAAGGGGCTCAGTCACCCCCACCACCCAGGCCACCCCCTACTCGCCTTCTAAGCAGTCTGTCCTTCCCCTGCGCTTCTGCCTGGGTGTGGTAGGGAGCGGGGCACGGAGCTGGCTCCAGCCCCTTGTCCCATCCCTGCCTCCACAGAGCTCCTCCTCTCCCTCTCATACCAGCTACCCAGAGGATGACCCCTCGAGCTTGAACAAAGCCCTTCTGCAGCCCCACACTTCTCCCAGCTTCCCACCCTGTGAAATAGCACCTGGAGCCCCTGTCTCATCAACCTCCCCCACTTTACACGTGGGATTTTCAGATTCTGCCCCCATCTTGGGGTTGGGTGGGGAAGGGGGGGTTTGGCTGGGCGTTTGTTGAGTGACTCACAGAAGGCCTCTTCTCAGGGATTCAGCTGCTACAGACCAAGGACCTGGTGGCCAAGGGAGCGGGGCCCAGGGCCCGTCAAGGCAGGGCTCGCTGGGGTCTGGCGTACACGCTGCTGCACAACCCAGCTCTGCAGGCCTTCCGGAAGACAGCCCAGCCGGGTGCCCGGGCCAATGGCTCCCGGCCCTGAGGCGGGGGAAGCCCACACCTCCGTGTCCCTGCCTCCCAGCCCGTCCCTCCCCGGCTCTCCCAGCGTCATCACCATGGCCATGGCAGCCCTCTGCTTGGCCCCATCTCTGCCCGCAGGTCCCGGGGATTTAGCGGGACCAGCCGGGGGGTCACTCTGGTTGGATGGAAGTCTGTCAGCACTATGAGCCTCGAGCCTCGGGAAGGCTCTGGTCTGCCCCTCTTGACCTTGGGAAGCCAGTGAGGGCTCCGGAGAAGGCAAGCGGTGGTTTTGCCTCTTGGTCCAGGAAGCAGGTCCAGGCCCCTCCCGACGCCCGGCCCTGCCGCCAGCCTCCAGGCTTCCCTGAAGTCTTCTCCTGACCGGGGTTGGCGATTCAGGCCAGGGCAGCCTAGCCTTCCAGCTTGGCCCCCTCAGCTTCAGACGGACCTCACCACCATGACGAGACGCAGTGCCTCCTGTCTCCTAAAGCTTCCCCCTCTCTTTCTGGGGGCCCTTATGGCTTGCAAGGCAGCCCAGGAGGAAGCCATGGGCTCCTACCCCACAGCAAAGTTGTGGCTCAACCAGGCCCCACACCAAGCTGGCCACACTTGAGAGCCTGATATTTTTGTAGTTGGTATGCCCTTAGAGATTATGAAAGAGGTTAGTGTGCTCTCTGTAATAAACTTGTGCTTGAGAAGCAGTCCTCCTAAGGTGGGGGGTGCGGGGGGAGGGGGATATGTGGGAAAAACCACCCGGACTCTCAGTGAATCAACACTGTGTTTGTGGGGCTTGGGTGGGGTTGGGGTATTCTGGTCACATGCTGGGCTGGGTGGAGAGGCAGAGGGGAACCTGTGGCCACATCCCTTTGGGTGGTGGAGAGCCTGGGGACCCAGGGTGCCACCCCTGAGCTGTGTGAGTGTGGGCTTTGGGTGTAGGACTGATTCTGGGTCTTCAGGAATGTGCAGGATTTGGGGAAGAGGAGAGATTTCAGGAGAAAGCAATATGAATAAGAGTATGGAGGTTGGGGTGGGGGGGGGCTTCCCTCGTGACTCAGAGGGTGAAGAATCTGCCTACAGTGCAGAAGACAGGGGTGCAACCCCTGGGTCAGGAAGATCCCCTGGAGAAGAAAATGGCAACCCATTCTAGTATTCTTGCCTGGAGAATTCCATGGACAGAGGAGGCTGGTGGGCTACAGTCCATGGGGTGGCAAAGAGCTGGACAAGACTGACTCACACACACACACACACACACACACACACACACACACACGGAGGTGGGAGGAGACTGGCCTGCAAAGGGAAGGGCCGCTGAGGGGGTCCCCCACTCCTGTGGGGGGTTGGCTGAGGTGGGGACTACTGTGGGGCTGGGGCTACCGAGAGTGGGGCAAATGTGGCCACCCCACATACCTGGATCAGTGGGGCCCCAAGAGATGTCTGTACAGCTAGTGAAGACCACCCCTGACCCCACCACATTCCCAAACCCAAACTACAGCCTCAAACTGGCAGGAAGCCAGCAGGGGGACAGGGAGCTCCAACCCACCTTCAAGGGTGCCCAGGAAGAGGGCAAGGAAGGCAGGGTTGATCCCACTGAAGCCCATTGAAAAATGTATTTCTAGCCCTGTGTCTGTGATTGACAGGGTCTGTCCTTAATATGCAAACAGAGTCACAAGAGAGTGATCAGACGGGGACACTGGACACTCAGGGCTATGTGAGCCAGAGGAGGGGGCCTAGTCCTGTTTGAGGAGGTGAGGGGAAAGCATCCCGGAAAGATTTCTGGAGGAGGTGGTACCTAAGCCAAGTCTCAAAAGCTGACTTAGTCGAGTGACAAGCAGGAGGATGACCAGAGAGATGGAACAGCGTAAGTAAATATACAGAGGATGACACATCTCAGAGTGTTCAAGGGACAATTAATTGGCTGTTCCCAGAGGGGTGGGGCCGGGTGGCTTCAGAGAGCCAGTCAGAGGGGCCAGGAATGTCTGACCAGAGACTTGGGCTTCGCCCTGAGGGCACGGGGGCCACAGGTGACTTTAAAACAAGCCAGTAGCTAGTTCATTCAGGCACAAATGTTCCCCAGCCACCCCCGACTCAGGTCTTAGTCCCACATCCTACTGCAAGAAGCTAAACCTGCTCAGCTGTGAACAGAGCCGGGGATGTCGAGGGGCCCATGTTCGGTTAGGGTTATGAGGCCTTAGATACTCAGAGTCAAAGGAACCCGTGACTTTACCATGTCCTACCCCGTCCTTTGTTTTCTGAGGAAACCAAAGTCCAGAGATGGGCAGTGACTCACCCAAGGTAACACAGCACGGGGGACTTGGCTCCATCCTGCTGTTTTCCATCAGAGGTGCAGTCATCCTCGACATGTGCTCTGGTGACAGCAGCTCAGCGGGAGCTGCAAGCTGACGGGGGCGGGGGGAGGGGGAATGGGGAGATACTGCGTGTGGAAGGAGGGGGAAGCGGGGCTGGCCAGGCTCCAAGTCTCACAGCTGCTACCCTACATTCCTGGGCCTCCCTGTCTCCACTTTGCTAGTCTCAGCAGTTCTGGGGGCTCTGGTCAGAGGCTTCAGAGCTTCTCTCACAGGCTCTTGTCCCTAAGCATTGCACCTTTTGATCTGGAAAGGGGCGGGGTTGGAGGCAGCAGGGCTCCCAGATCCAGACAAAACTCCAGGCAGACGCAGGGGAGCATCAGAAATGCTATTTATTTCTCTGCCGCCCCCAGGCTGGCTAGCCTCTCCCGAGGTGGGGGTGGGGGTGGGGAAGGCAGGCTGTAGATGTGTACCTGGAAAGGAAGGCAGGGCAGGAATCCAGGATGGAGGGGTACACCAAGGGAGGAAGAGTTGGAGATGAGCACCATCCTGGGTCTTCTAGTCCTGTCTGAGGGCAGAGACTCCCAAGCCCTCAAGTCGTTAGAAAACACCAAAGGTCAACAGGAGCTCAAGCAGGTCAGAGAGCCTCAAAGCCACGCCAGTCAGTTGCTCTGTGTCCTAATTCTACATCTCCCGTGCCCATCTGCTTCAGGCTACTTCCCCGCCCAGCCCCAAGCCCCAGGCCCTGACCGTAGCCTTTGACAGCTTGTCAGTCCCAGTGCCTGGAATTCCATCAGTGAGGCTCCCCCTAGGTGGTTAGGGCATCACCTGGTCAGCATGCTGCCCCTGAGACAGAGGAGCATGTGCAGTGTGGTTAGCAGCAATTAGCACCATAGACGGTGAGTTAGGGGATCCAATTCCGTCCTAGTCACTAGCTTTGAGCAAGTCTAGAAGTTGGGGTGCTGAGTGTCCTAGAAGGGATGAAAAGGGGAGGTAGGAAGGTGGGAAGTCCCTGATGCAGGCTCCAAGAATTGCTACCCCCAGGCCCCTGCACCCCTTGTGAGGGACAGCCAGCGGTCAGGGCAAGAGTCAGCAAGCCCTCAGGTGGGGGTGGGGCTAGAAGGAAGCAAGGAAGAGGAGGAGGAGGCTCTGGCCCAGCAGAAGCAGGCCAGGGGGCTGCTTCCCAGAGACCCCTTCTGCTGCTGCTGCAGCCTCGGGGCCCCTGGGGCGGCTGAGGTAGATGATGACCACGTTGTCCTCTGGCCCTGACGGCTGCACCTCGTTGTCGACCGTGTAGCAGACCTTCCCCTCGGCTGCTTTGCCCTGGAACCTGCGCCCCAGCGCGTCCTCGCCACCCTCACCTGGTGTGGCCAGGGCCACATTTACCGAGCTCTCCGCGCTGCCCAGCTCGTTGGTGGCCAGGCAGCTGTAGGTGCCCTCCTCCAGCTTGCCAAAGTCAGGGATGAGCAGGCTGCCATTGGCAAAGGCTTGGAAGCGCGGGCGGCTGCTGGCTGCCAGGACACCAGGCAGGGCATGCCCATCGGCACCCACGTTGGGGCTAGCGATCTCCACGGTGCCACCGGGCGTCTGGATGTGCCAGTGGAGTTGGGGGGCCGGCTGCCCATCCACGTCACAGTGCAGTGCCAGCACAAAGCCCGGACGCAGCTCGGCCCCATCCTGGCTGGGCTGGTAGGTGAGCTGTACCGAGGGAGCGGAGCAGGGCAGCGGCAGCAGGCGGTTCAGCCGCGTGCCCTTGAGCACATGGGGCGAAGTGCAGGTGATGTTGTCCTGCTCTGGGATGGACACGGCCGTGGTCAGGGCCCACGTCTTGAACCACACAATGCCGCAGGTACAGTCGAAGGGGTTATCGTTGATCTGCAGGTGAGACAGTGCAGTGAGCGGGGCAAAAGTGCCCTCGGCCAGTGTGTGCAGGCGGTTATGGTTAAGCTGCAGCGAGCGCAGGGCGCGAAGGCTGCGGAAGGCGTCGCGGGGGATGAAGGTCAGCTCATTGCTGTCCATCTTGAGCAACTGAAGGGCACTGAGGCTGTGCAGGTCGCTCCAGGCAAAGTCGGAGATGAGATTGTGGCTGAGATCCAGGCTCTTGAGTTGGCTCAGAGAGGCCAGGGCACCCGCGGCCACACTGCGGATCTCGTTGTGGGCCAGCCACAGCGACTGCAGCCGGGGCACCTCCCTGAAGGCGCCCCCCGGCAGGCTTGTCAGCTGGTTGGCTGACAGGCTCAGCGTGGTCACGTTGGCCGGGAAGCCGGATGGCACGGCCTGCAGGTCACGGTAGGCACAGTCGGCGATGTGGAAACCATACTTCTCCCCGCATTCACAGGGCTCCGGACAGGCCTGCACCAGGCCCGCGAGGACCACCAGGCACAGCAGACGCAGCTCCTGCATCCTGCGGAGAAGGGCATGCCTCCAAGGTGACCCCCAAAGACCCACAGAAGGCACCCCGACACAGAGCTCTTCCCCATCAGAAGGCCCTGCCCACATAATCCAGATAAGACACCCCCCACAGCACCTAGCCCACCACCCCCATTCTACAAAAGGGGAAACTGAGGCCCAAAGAAGGTCCAAGACTTGCCCGAGGTCACACAGTCAGGAGAGGGCGAAGACAGGACGGAAGAGGACCCCAGCTCCTTCTCTGAGCCAAGAGCTCTCCCTGCCTCGGCCGGCTCCTAGCTGACTTTGTGACTTGAAATCTGTTTTCCAGCCGCCTCCTCCCCCAGCATTTGGCAGAGCCTCCCTCCTGCCCTCCCACATCCTGGCCACAGCCCCTCCCCCTGGAGCCCCCAAAGGTACATTCTGCCCCCTGGCCTAGACAAGGCCCCTTGTGCAGTGCACACCACCCCCATCTGCCCCACCCACCCCTCTCCTGCTCCTACCAGCCGTGACCACAGCACACACCAGACCCTTTCTACGGACTCACACCCTTGGCCTTTTCGGTTCAAACTACACCAGGCAGCTGCCTAAATAAACCCCTGCCAGGACCTCTCAGCTGGCTTGGATGAGGCCAGTGGCTCAACCCAAATACTGCTGGGGTTTCTAACAACCAGAGCCGTGGTTGTTAGAGGGATCCATGGCCCCTGGACAGATCCAAGCAAGGGATTGTCTGAGCACCCCGAACCAACAGGAAAGTGCCCAGTCCCCATGCCCAGTAGACTGCTTTCTCCTCCCACTGGCCTCTGGAGCACTTTTGCCGCTGACTTACCTTCAAACTATTCTTTCTTGGTCAAGCAGAGCTTCTTCTAAGATGGAACCAACAAGCAACAAAGAAAGAGTTAGTCCTGGACAGTCTGCAGGGCCAAGGGAAGATGCTGGAGGAAGGGGCAGCCTGGTCCCTGTCCCACCTTCAGTCTGCACACCTGGGCCTGCCCTTATCCAGACAGGGTGCCTGAGACCATCTGTTGAGACTAGGCTGCAAGAAGGGAACCCAGGCAGTCCGTATACTCCCTCCTTCCAGCAAAACGTCTGCCTCTCTGCAGCAACAAGGACCCGTGTTTCATAAGTGACACCAGAAACTTGAGGGGGAAAAGATGCCAAATTTTTTGTGTTTTTTTTTCTCTCTCTCTCTCACTCACTTTTAGCAGCTTCAACTTCCTTAAAGACACAGCACTAGCTGGACAAGACCCAAGAAAAGATGGGGCCAGAAGGGTTTTATGGGAGGGAGGGGTGAGAAATTGAATCCCGTGGAAGGTGGGGGACTTTTAACCTCACTTTGAACAGGAGAAAAAGGAGAGGGCATTCTCCAAGTTGGGACCATGTGAGGGACTGTGTGTGCATGTCTGAGTGTGGGTGTGACATCTCTGTGTGGATGAGTTTGTGTGTGGGGGGGTGTGGGTGTGGGTGTGAGATTATGTATGTATGACTTTGTGTGTTTGGGAATGTTTGAGTGTGTGTATTTGTGCAGGTTGTGAGGCTAACTCTTCGTGTGTTTGTGTGGATGTGCGTGAGTCTAATTCATATATTTGGGCGTGTGTGTGTGTGTTTATGTGTAGTAATGAATGTGTGTCTCTGTGACCATGTGTCTGTGTGGGTGGTGGGTGTGTTCCAGTGAAAAGCTGAGGCCAAAGCGTAGCAAACACCCACCGTGATCCAGAGTCTCGGGGAGAAGCCAAAACTTCAGACCTGTTTTTGTAAGAAAACACATCCTCCTCACCAGCTCGCCGCCCCAAGTCACGCCTGCCTGCTGGCTCCAGGCTGGGCTGCCCTAAACACTTGAAGTCCCAGGAGGTCTCCCTGACGAGCTGGGAGAGGAGGGCGGGGAGGCAGGCAGGGGTGTGACTGCCCTCCAGTCGGGTAAAAGGAAGCTCCGGACAGGAATCGGCCAGGCTTCAGCTTTCTGACGGGGATTCTGGGGCACTCAGGCTCACAGAGATGGTTCTATCACCCAGGACTGCTTGTCTGGAGAGGAAGCATTGCTCTCTGAACTGCACTGTCCCAACTCTAACTGCCTCCGGGGGAGGAGACTTACACACAGTTCTTGTTTCATGTATATATATATGTATATATATATATATATATATATATATATAATTTCTCTGAAGCTAATAATAGCCTTTTTAAAAAAGTGTCCCTCTATCTGCATTGTCTGTTTCTTCAAGTTGCTTCCCCCCCGCAACCACCGCCTGTTAGTTAAGTTGTTTAGAACTGTCTTTCCTTTTAGAGGTTTTTCTCAGTTAATTCACTCAACATAAATTTACTCCCATATGTTTAAAGGGAGACCCCTCTACTAGGGAAGAAGCCTGTTGAAAGCGGACAACTTGTTCTCCCAGTTGTTGTTAATCCCTGGCACAGAGAAGATGCTCAATAAATAGCCCTTGACTCAATGAGTGAGTGAGCTGGGTGAGCATCAGATACCAGAAATGAAAGCACTTTGGAGGTTCCCTTCTCCACACCCTCTTTTATAGATAGGGACTCTGGGTCCAGACCAGGTTCCTTAGGACAGGACGTTTTAAGGCTATCTCACACAATGTAGGGGACCTACTTCCCATGTGGCGCTAGTGGTAAAGAACATGCCTGCCAATGCAGGAGACATAAGATATGTGGGTTCGATCCCTGGGTTGGGAGGGAGTGACCACGCATTCCAGTACTCTTACCTGGAGAGTCCCATGGATGGAGGAGCCTGGCAGGCTACAGTCCACAGGGTTGCACAGAGTCAGACACGACTGAGCGACTTAGCATGAGCATGAGCATGCGTGGGGGATCCACACTCTACTGGGTGTGTGAGCATGTTACCGGCCTTCCTGGGGGTCCTTGCACCTCATTCCACATTGTCAAAGACCTTGATGATAACCCAGCACTAAGCCACCCTCAGAATCCTGTGCAGAACAGCTGGGGCGGGGGGGAGGGGGTACGGTGCGGAGACGGGGGTTATGGCAGGAGAAGCAAGAGTAACCTGCCCACGCAGGCAGAACCAAGTCTGCATGCATCAGTCACTGACAACCCTTCCCCCTCTGCCCAGATCCCATCACCTCCTGAGGGTTAAAAGCGGGCAGCATGACACACCTCTCCCAGGAAGGACAATAGGACAAGGGCCACTGGGACCCAGTGGGCCTCTACTAAGAAGCATCTCATGTTCTCCGAGGTGCTTCACAGTGGGCCACGCGGGGCCACCCACCACATAGCCTGAGAAGTGGAGGCACGCCTCCAAGGGTGGGGCTTATCACCTCCTAGGCAGCCCCTAGGCTCTCCAGGTACCATCATCTTATCAAGTTCTTCCTGCAAAGCCCATCCCACAGGAGATGAAGCGAGCAGGTAAAGGACACAGCTGGGAGTCAGCTCCCCTTTCTCTTCCCAGGCCAGGAGCTCCCTGGGGGCCTAGAGATGGGGGTCCTTGGTGAGTGTGTGGACACCCTGACTATCCCCAGATCACAGATGCGGGCACAAAGGCCCAGGACTAGAGAGCATCTCTCAAACCCCAAACCTCTGCACCATCCCTGGATACCCGGCAGCCCTTCAACAGTGGAAGGGAGAATTGGGAGGTGGGGAATGGGAGGGAAGGAGTCAGGTCTGGAAGCCCTTCCTGCCTGCCCCATCCTGGCTCCTGTGGGCCTCAGGGTAGAGTGCCCGGCAGTCCTGGGATGTGGGGCTTTCGGTGTTAAAATCTAGACAGTCCCAGGCCAGCTGGAACGGCTGATCGCCCTAACAGAGGAGGTGGGGCTCACCTCTCCCCAGAGTTTTTCTTCCGGCTCCCCCTTCTCCAGCCCTCCTCGGAAGCCCAGCCCTTTCTCCTCCCATCCCTCCAGGCTCTCCCCCAACAGGGCGGCCAATCCCTCCCCAGCTGCAGCAGCTCAACCCTCCTGAAGCCCCCACCCCAAAGAGGCCTCACTCCTGCTGAGCGACCAGAGCCACGTCAGCTTTTCCTGGAAGGCAAAGAAAGATCCTGGAGAGAGAGAAAGAAAACGAGTGAGAGGGATAGAGCCCAGCAGAGAGGGAACGGGAGAGAAGCTGAGAGACCAAGGAAAGAGAGACAGAGGCTGGGGGTGGGGAAGGGTGAAAGCGCAGAATCACCAAGAGCCAGGGTTAGAGCTGAAGGCAGAGAAAGGAAGACACGAAAAAGAGGTGAAGAGAGAGGGTCTGGTGGGCCCTGAAACCAGCTTTGAGAGGAAGGAGACAGCAGGCACTCAGATGCATGGGCAGCCGAGGTGGCAGGGCTTTGCCATCCTGCCAAGAGGGCGGGTGGGTCTTGAACCCAACCTCACTCTCTCTCCACACAGCTTGTGGGAATAACTGGGAGGGAGCTCAGCTGCTCCTGGAGGGACTTGGGTAAGCCTGTTGGTCTCCCCGGAAGGAGAGTCTGTTCTGGGCCATTGAGAATACAGTTTCTCTGTTTCAGGTGGGAGTCAGATGAGACCATCTGATGTCCTTCAGCCCTGATGTCCTAGAATTTCTAATGAACGTCTACCTTCACATGAGCAGTTTGTGTGCATGTGTGTGTTCATGCACAATCATTTCTATTTGCATGCACTGTGCGGGTTTTCCATGTGTACTTGTTGGTACATGCACCCTGCAGGTATGAGGGGGTAGATAGTTCGAGCGTCAGCTCCTTGTGGTGGCTCCCCAGGCTGTAACTGGGGGCATAGGCCAGGCCCCATCTTCTGGCCTCCTCCCAGAGGCCCCCTGCCCAGACAGAGCATGCCTGGCCCGTGGCTGACTCTGCTCTACTCCTGTTTCCTTTCCCTGCCTCCACCTTCCTCTCCACACACCCCTTCCCATTGCTCAGGTGTGAGGGTCTCTCCCTTCTCTTCTTTGGTTTCATTTCCTCAGACCCTGAAAACCAGGAAGTGTCTCCGCGATCTGCCCCACCCCCACCCTGCTCCCTTTGTTCAGCTTCTCGCATACCTGCTGCCACCTTGGGGCCCTGCTATTGCTCTTTTCTCAAACTGGAATCTGTA